TTGGGCTTTTCCAACTGACCGATGGGCCGTCCCGGAAAAGTAGGCGACCTGCCGCAACTGTTTTTCCAACGCTTCATCGACTGGATAAATCCACTCTGAGCTGCAACTGACATAAATGCACTTCATGATAAAAGAACCATGATTCTAGAAAACACCGAAAGTCATCGCTCTGGGCAGTGGTCACGACGGTTTCCTTATCAGTAGACCTGATAAAATACAGAACATTGGTGAGCAGCTCAAGAGGGGACTTCGCGGCGCATTTGCGAATCACTTAGTGTTCTCACGTCTTCAGCAACAAAATCTCCTGCTTTTCAAGACTTGAAGTAGAGTTTCTATGAACGTTGATCGCAGAGAACCAACCTTACGATTCATATAATATTACACAGAAACCTCGTTTTGCTTGTACATGAGAATGTGTTTTTTTTAATCAAAAAAAAGAAAAAAGAACTAACAGGCGTTCATCGTATCGTAACGACGGTGTGGTCTCTGTGTGGCGGGCTGAGTGCAGGCCACTTTCTTGCACCTGTATGGAGTTTCATCAGTCTGTATAATGTTTGGAAGGATAAAAAGTGTTCTGAGGGAAGGCAATATTTTGAATACTGGATTAGGATTGCTCCCAAAATGTTTAAATTGGACGTGAAATTAGACTAAAAAGAGAATGGAAATGAACTAGATGCATCAAAGGCGAGAAAAAATGTTATGGTGGAAAAAAAAAACAATAAATGACTAAAATAAGATCGCTAAAACTTAGTCTAAGCATTCAACTGCTCTTCAGCTTTATATTTGTTGTAGTCACAGCCCTGCTCGTAATCGACCCGGCAAGCACTCTCCACATGATCTGCATGTAAGGCAGGATAGACCAGTGAGACGACAGAGTTCCATTAGTCTGGCACAAGCCCTGCCGGAGGAGAAGTCATGGGCTGGGCTGCGGCGTAACTGAATCGACGGCCGCCGTGTTTTGTGTTTTGGTGGGCTGATTTAGTATGTGGGGCTACTGAGGTCTCCGAGGATTGTATGAACGTTCTGTAGCGTTATGTGTTTTTGTTTTTATGCGTTTTTGCGGTAGAGCGCTGCAACAGGCAGCAAAAACGCATATTGCAACGACCCTGTCAGTGTGTATGTGTATGTTTGTGTGTGTGTGTGTATTTGTGTGTGTGTGTGTGTGCGTGTGTGCGTTTGTTCGTCTGTCCGGGTATTTCAACTCGCCAACCACGCAAGCTTTGAAGTTGAAATTTTGCCAGTG